TGTTCCCGGTGACACCTTCCTGCAGGACAGGAGAAAGGCAAAACCTGACCTGTGAGGGAGTGAGCTTTGGTTTATGTTCTAGACTGGGATCGAAATGTGGTGCCACACTCTGACCGCATGGTTACTGCCACTTCTGTGTGATCCCCAAGCTGGCTCTCAACTGCAATTGTGTCTCATGGAGAACAAGATGGGGCAAAGTGAAAAGAGAAGCTCCCCATGGGGAGTTAATAAAGTTTCTCTGCTCTGCTCTGCTCTCTCCATGCCTGTGTAGCTCTCTGTTAACTGGATGCACTGATATGTAGAACATATTTCCTCCTTTAACATTTTTGCATGTTCTTGGATGCTGTGTGAGTCGTACACAGATCTCCCATATATGCTGGGATCTTTTGCTTTTTATTTTTTTTGCATGCTAATATATTCAGTTTATTTTTATATAGCGCCTTTCACAACAAAGTTCTCACAAAGCGCTTTTTAGGGTTGCGTTGTGATACATACAACATAAGTAGAGGGAGATACAGAACGGGGGAAAAAGGAAAGATAGAAAGTGAATATACACATTCTATGTTGGGTGGATAGTGATGTGACCCCCATCAAGAGGGGGTGGGTTTTTCAGAAGAAGAGTCTTAAATTGGAGTGACTTCTGCAGAGTGGCTCATAATATGACACGGGGCTGACAGAAACACTCTACTTGCTGATAAGGGACTGAAAATACCACGGTGAATGACTGATAAACTTGGTTAGTATCGACACAAGTCAAATTTTGCTTCTCTGTGAATAGCACAATTTTTTTGCCACACTGTGTGCATTTTAAAAGAGGAGGAGGGGGGAAAAAGGGGGGCTAGTCATGAAACTTTCAAGACTATAACTGTCATCCTGGAACACTCCCTCCCTCCCCCGTCCTCTTTGTAAACCCGAACAGGTTGTAATTACGGAGAATGCAAGGCCTATTCAGTGTGCTGCTATGTAAAGTGACTGAGTGGGCTGTGGTGTGTGTCCCTGAGCGCCTGCGTTAGGGACCCAGCCTGTAAGGGGTCTGATTAACAGAACAGAAGCCTTGTTAAATGATTTTTTGAATATAAAATGAAACATCTCGATTCTTGTTAAAGAAGCCATGTTTGTCATTATTTGAATTGTAACCAAGAAACCTGTTTATATAAATAATATACGTTTATGGATTATAAATTCAATTTTTTGTTGTTTTATAAGGATTTTTGGCACGGTAATTTATGAGAAATTGACATCGTTGATAGCGACGCCACATCTTTTATCCCTCTGCACACCCCGAGGAAGGATTTTTATATGCTCAAGAAACTGTGTGGGATAACTTGCACTTTTCAGAATGTTAATACCTTACAAAAACAACAAAGATAATAATAAATTATGTATTTCACTTGTGTTTGTGTCTCTGTTCTTATGAGTAATGAAGAATGTCCACCTATCTGATCCTCAACAACATACAGAGTCTAAATCTCTAATGAAGAGCATGTGTGTTCCTCCAGTGTTTGTGGGGGATTTTTTCCCACAGCCCAGAAACATGCGATTAGTTGAATAGTGTCCCTAAATTGCCCATAGCTGGTGTTCATGCATGTGCGTGTCTGCCCGGGCACTCCATATAAAGTTTCTCAGTGTTTTTCTTTTTTCCTGTGATGGGCTCCAGGCTCACCGCAATTACAGAGGAATGTATGTAATTATATAAGAATATTGAAACCGGAGACCTGGCAACCCGTCGTGTTACAATAATAAACTTTCACTGTGAAATTCCTTTTGCGGAATGACGGCGGGTTTAAAAGTTCATAGCTAGTGGTGATACGGGAAGACACTTGTGCCGTTTACGCTCATTGAAGATTGAAGTTCAAAGGCTCAATGCGCAAAACTGCTTAGCGAGGATAGCGAGGTATCCGGGAGCCCTGGGTGACGGAAGCGTATACGCTTATTCCCTCACACCGTTATCTTACTGCCGCAGGGCTGCCACCTCAGTACTATGCGTGAAAATGTAGTATCTACAGCTCATTATTTGAACCTTGAAAACACTGTTTTTGCCTGCTCTTTGTAGATTATTGTGGTAAACAAAACCTCAGCCGTCCAAAGTATATTAACACTACTGATGAGATAATATGAGGACAAAACTACTGTTCTACAATGAAAAAAGAAATTCTTAATGACCCCTGATAGCCATTCTAATATACATCATAGACAGAGCAACATTGTACAAAATGCCGCTGCACCAGTGATACAGGAGTCTGTGTTTGTATTTCTGTAGTAGAGATCTAGAATATAGATATTTGGATCCGCCAGACAACACTCAATATATCTGGAAATTAATTTTCTTGTATGTTCAAAAGTTTTATCTGGACAATTTAAGATACTATTGTAACAGTAGTTTTTTAAGTACTAGAAATAAGTTATGAAATGACTACTATTTTTATTGTTTTTTCACAATTAATTCGAAGCAACACAGTTCTAATCCTCGAAAACTAGTGTTGAGTAAATAATGCTTGTTCCATTGGTCCAAAATGTGTTTTGTAAGCAGACCGGTGTCTCTAATTTTCCACTGGGTTAATGTGCATTGTGGCCTGGCATCCATCACGAAATGAAGCGCACTGATGCCTGTAGAGGTGTCTGCCTGTTCAGATCTGGTACATCAGGGCGTACCTGCAGGCATTACAGGTATTATGGCTGAGAATCAACAATGGGGCGCTTTGCTTTGATCAGAATCACATCCAAAGTCAGAGCCTCCCTTAGGTTTTCATCCTTGAATTCCCCTTACAAGCCTAGAAAAGAGCCCCTCTACACCCCCCCCCTTATTATTTACATTCCATTTTATCCATCCATCCATTTTCTGTATTCAGGGTTGCAGGGGGGGTCCAGAGCCTATCCTGTAGGCTACAGGCACAAGGCAGGGAACAACCCAGGATGAGGTGCCAACCCATTGCAGGGGACACTCACACACTCATGCACAACTATAGCAATTTGGCAGCTCCAATTAACCTCAGCATGTTTTTGGACTGGAGTGGGGGGGGTGCTGGAGTACCTGGAGAAAACCCCATGATGACATGGGGAGAACATGCAAACTGCACACATGTGGAGCCATGGTGGAGGCTTGAACTCTGGTGCTAACGACTGTGTCACCATGCCATTCCCTTTATCAATGCCATCGTTGACTAATCCTGGGGTTTACGCCCTACTCTTCCTACAACGGTGATCTAGGGGGATAACGCCTGGGTCCGTCACCACTGATGACTGAACACACTGATCTTATGAGACTGAGTCCAGTTTTATTTACTTGCACTGACACTATCCTGGGATTGTGATTCCCTGTCAGTCCTCAATGGGTTTGCATCTTTGCTACTCCCACCTATTCTTATTATTATCGATGTGCTTTTGTTACAAAAACAGCAGGATCACCATTACAATAGCAGTGTAAGAGCTGAGTGTGTCTGCAGCAAGTGCCCGATAGACAAGCGAGCTGTCATCTGGGCAATGGTGGAGCAGAACTCTCCGGGGTTTGCCAGAAAAGCCCATGTTTTAGCAGCAGCATGGATTCACTCAGAACTTGCTTAAGATTGCTGCGACTGCAACGTTCCTCCCAAGGCCCGTAATGAGGCTCATGCGGAGCACAGCAGCATCAGAAAATGGAGACTGTGACTTTGTCCCATTCAACACACTTAAGGGCAAGCGCACTGAGATGCCACACACTTTGGTGATGTATGATGATGTAAGACGCAAAGTGCGCGAGTGTATGTGAAGAGCCCAAGTGCACAGGGATTTCTTGGAACCAATGGGACACACTTGATATCTGAAGAGGTAAACAAGAGAAGCTTTGCTAGGGATGGTAAGATTTACTGATTCGCATTGGCGCATAAAAGTTCATGATGTGATTGACCCGATTGCAAAAGTGCACACCGGATACAACACCTTTGCATTGGTAAAATTCAATGTGTTAATATATCATTATTAGTAGAGGCCCTATGCCTTTATTATTCAGAAACGTGACTAATAATATTTAACCAATAGTTTTATATTTAGATTGATTACCTGACTGTAAACTGTTTCTGTAACTGTACCACATTGACTTGCATAGCATCATATTCTTCTGCATCACATCGTATTGTGTCACATCACCTTTTGTTTAATCAAATCACGTAAAATCGCATTGCATCACCATAGTGGTGAATCATATTTACCACATTAGTACTTGCTTCATATGTAATGTATTGGATCTTTGGCGATACATTTAGACGTGATCTCAGTGAAGGACATGCACACCCCCAACAGACTTTACAAATATGCTGTCATTTGTCTTGGTTGTGTTTGGGATTGTCCTTCACTCTACCCTAGGCTATGTAAACATTCGTTACGCAACTTTGCACACTTGCACTGGAACTTCTTTGGAGACATGATAAGACATGTTGAAAAACATTGAAAAATTATGTTTTATAATAAATAATTTTTTGAAAGTGCAATATGCGGACACTGCAAACTCACAGTCCAGCCTTGAACCCATGACCTTGGTATCCCTAATCCAGTTCTACCCACTGCTCTGCCATGTTTTTTTTTTTCTGTTTATATATTATTAGTCAAAGTTATAGTAGTGGGATGACATTAAGGGAACATCAGGAAAACAGGACACTTCGAACGTTTCCATAACTTAATCGCGCATTGTGTTTGCGGTTCAAGAATAGACTTGACACAGTTGGCCTATACGGTGCTACGACTAGGTGCAAAGACTTACAATTCTTTCAGTTTAATGCAATTTTCGTTTTACTCCCGAACTCAAAGCAGTTTTCTACTATAAATTGCTCAGCAGGTCTTCAATTTCTGTTCATGACCTTATACTAAACGTGGACTGTATGCAAGCAAACTCGCCGCTGTGTTATATTCCGCGCGTATGTGTGTGTGTGTGTGGCTGATCCCGGCATAGTCTCGCGCCTGTCCTCCTTTTTCCCGGATTTTACCCGCATCCCTCTCCACAGCACGCGCTCTTCCGGAGGATGGTACGCTCCATATGAACGAGGTTTCCGCGCTTTGGGCGATTGGTCCAAATCAGACTAAACGGACAACCCCTGGATTAGGAATCTGAGGCGAGGCGGAGTCTGTGATCGAGAATATTGCAGTTTTAAAACAAACATTAAAAATGCAACGAGTAGCCATATTCGTTAATTTTTAAGATCCGATGCCTTGTCTTTTTCTTATTAATGGTTAATAGAACATAAGTTCCTGCATACGAATTGTGGTTGCCTTTGTTTCAAGCTCAGCTTCTGGAGCTTGTGGAGGCGATCGGGTGCATTGTGCCAAACGGATCACTGACGGCGCTGCAGGATGGTGAGCGGGTATTGCTGATAGATATGAGGCAATTATATTCAACGGTACGGTTCGGACGCTGGATGACTGAAGCGCGTTATGGACAGTGGGACTGCTTAGATGCTGAGTCCTAGGAAAGGTAAGTAATGGTTCCTCTTTGTTGTCACTGAGCATACACGGTGACATTTATGCGAAGTCTTCTGGGTCAGCGCGAGTGCCGTGAGCATCTAAGGTTATACATTCTGGATGTGCAGAAGAAGCCGGCACATACAGGAAACAATAATTTGCTTTTTAATTTGTTACGCCAAGGCAACCGCGAGTCAATGTTTATGCATGTCGTCAGTAAAGTGTTGATATAACTTGTATTGTGATAGATATGCTTGTAGTTAGGGTCATATGATCTATTGTTTTTACTCCCTGTCGTTTTGACATCTCACTTGGAGTGGGTTAACGTGCACCCGCAGTGGTTTGGCTCTGACTTTTTTTGAGGCTGTACTTCTTTTTGGACGTGTGCGCTTCCACGAATGAAAATGTAAACAAGGCGAGCGGGATGCATGTCATACACAGCCTCGTGCCCGCACACATGCGTGCCATGTCACACACGAGCTCGTGCCTGTGAACTGGTCACGTGTGAGGGCGACTGTCCGCCGGCGTGTCTATACGCCACCCCCCCCCCTGCTCACGTTTTACATGCGCTGCGTTTCAAAATCATTATAACCCCCCAATACATTTATGTAGTCTTTGTTTAGTTACGTGTCTAGCCCGGTGGGTATTGCTGGGTTAATGGGTCTGCAAAGTGCCCCAAACACCGCCCAGGGGCATTAACACTTAAACCCTTATCTTCCGGTGGCGTGGGCATGCATGTCCCCGCGTTTCCCTTAATTTCTATTCCCTTTCAGCTCCGTGTAAACTCTTCCTTCCTTACTTCCGCGGCATTACAATACACAAAAGTCCCTACACGCGCTGTGCTCCTGGAATGAGAGCCTAAACAAATACACGGCTTGCAAGGGATGGGTCGGCTCAGGTCTCCCCAAGAGGCACTCGATATCATCTTATTTCACACAAAAAGGTTTACTGACGGCTTTATGCCGCTCCCGGGCACTAATCATAAGACAAAAAACACGCAGTCAGTACAGCATCACAGCACTGCCTCAGGCCCGTAAAATATCATATTCATGTCGTGCATGCAGGATGTTGTGTTTACTGCTGAATAGCCTGTCTGAAAACTGCAAAGAGCAACATTTATTTCAAGCATCCGCGGAAGGTTTACTTGCACCTTGCAGTAAAGGCTCACTGTCAGCCTGTGTAGGTATGTGACTTAAGCGCAGTGCTAGCAGTGACATGCAGGCAGACCTACACAGATCCTATACGGTTCTGGTACCGGTTCCTCGGTAATATTGACCGTGTGTGACTTCCAGAGAGGAGTTGCCTTTGTGCTCATTTCCGGCACATGGATTCCGACATGAATGCGGCGGGGGTGCGGGATTTGGGAGCTGAAAGGGAGCGCGCACGGGATCCGAGCCAGCTGGGGAGAGCTGCCGTGGTGGGGGGAGCTGGCGCTGTCCTCAAAGTCCTTAGCGTTCCGATGTAAACCTATAAAATTGCACATTTGGGTCCAAATTCAATCGTACCTGTTAAAGTTTGTCAAAAATTTAGCCGCTAACTTCTTATTCTAATGCTGGCTCAGGTCTGCTGTCCATTTTAACAACAAAGGACGAATTTTTGCGGTGCGTTGGCCATTGCAGAATTTGTGACTATTAGTAACCCAGGGCTTTTGAAAGAATAAGGGGAAGATGATGAAGTTGTTAGGGAAACTTAATTTACCGTGCAGCATGAACTGGGTTTGCTGGGAAATGGCATAGATACCGCTCTGAGCTTCCTAAAAAAAGATTTTGTGAACCCGGAGGCATAAAAAAAAAAAAATGTGTCACTGTGGCAAAAGGTATGACAGAATAAACAAAAAGTGCATATTCAGCATTTTGGTCCCGGAAAATCGATCCTCGACAAGGGACGCTGCTATCTGGCTCCGCTTCCGTGCGCAGTGAGGTCTGTAGCCTAGATTTTAAAATCCCCAGCAGCCGCTCTGTATTTAAAGGGGAACTCCACCCAAAAATAACATTAAGATCGTTTAGGAAATTATGTATTATGCACCTCAAGCAAGTTATTAGCTCACCCTCACATCAACATTTATATTCTGGTTTTCGCTGAATGTCTATGAAGACTTGTTTAGATTCTGATGTTTGATTTTGATATTAAAAGCCAGAGATTTTTCAACTGATTTCCTCTTTTCTTTTCCAGGTTTACCATGAATCTTTGGTAGAGTATCATGTTTAAAGGTGGAGACTAAGATTAGGCCTAACATTCTCATTTAGGATGTGTCGCCAGAGAGATAAAGGCAGGAAGAGGCAGAGAGAGACGGTGGGAGAAAGTCAATGCTAATCTCATCGATCCCCTGCATTACTGTCCATACTACCAGTTATGGGGCCTCTGATGTGGGTAGAGTAATGTTTCCCAGCATGCTTTTGCTCCCTCCGAGCCCTCTACCAGACAGTCCACATTTTTGCTCCCTCCCAGTTCCATACTGAGAGCTGGAGGTGAAGCAAAAATGAGGACTGTCTATGGGTCCCCAAGGACCAGATTGGGATACACTGGGCTTGAGCCTGAAGCAGAATTCAGAAGCCATCTCAGTGCCCTTCTTACATGCCCTGATTCCTTCTCGCTGGGGATGATGATTATTGACCATGGGATCCATATGCAGCCTCAGCAAAGCTTTAAAAACAGCATAATAGAACAGCCCCAAAGCAGTGATCCCTTTTAGTTTAAGTCTTGTTTTCCTCCAGAGCAAAACTGACATGCAGGTGTAAGTGGAGTGGTCTGTCTGAAAAACCCCAGCAGCTCTATGAGGCGTGATTGGCTCTCCACTCGAAGGCGGCCATTTCCAGGCATAAGAAACAAATCAAGCTCTAATCTATATGGCCCAGGGTGACATCACCTCCTGCAGAAGCTCCCGCACGCGCACACACTCAAGCGGAGTTGAGACTGCTGTGGTTTTTCGCTCCAGCAGACGTAACCCCCATGGTCGAGAATGCTCTGTGTTTGTGACTCTATCCGAGCTGATCTATGATGAAACTTGACCCTTATCGTACATATATAACATGACAGATAGGAGACACGGTGACATCACAGTGAGTACGAGAGAGATGGAGGTTCGGGGCTCGGACCTTCTGTGAATTTGTGCTCGCCAGTGAGGGGGACGATGGCAACTGTAGCAGACCTTGGAGGTTGTGTATTATTATTACCCAGCTTCTTAACACGATTGGTCGCCCTCATCCTCCTCCTTATTACACATAATCTATTATGCTATTTGCCATTTGCTCTTTTATGGATTCTGCTTTCCTGTAGCACTACATCTCCTTTAATGGCTAATTTTTCGCTTCTGCTTTTAATCCTTTGTATAAAAAACGACTGTAAATCACTGTGAAGTGCTTTTTGACAACTTACTTGTGAAAACACACACAAAAAAAAAATCAAACCTGATTGATCGCTTAATAAGTACGCCCCATTAAGGACGGAGGTGCTGCTCAGTGCTTAATCACCGGGCCCGCATTTCCGGGACGATTCCGCCCGCGAGGCGCCGTCGTGTCCCTCTGCGGTTTGTCTGAACCAGATGTCTCTGCTCTCAGCCAGAACGTTTGATTTCCTGGAAAATGCTGAACTTAAATAATTGTGGGCGATAAGTAGGTAACGGTTAACGGAGGTGGCTGCTTTCAGAGTGCTTTAACGCTGGGACACCTGTAGAGTCCTTTTGTCTGAGCTCATTATCCATTGGCTAGGTTAATTAGTGCATATAATGAGCAGTAATGAATGACATGCTTGTTGCCGGGGTCTCCCGGTCCAATGGGTTCGAGCTGTTACCACGGGAAAACCCGGCCTGCTTCCGCTGTCTGGTGGGCTTTGTTTAAATGCCCCCTCCCCTCCGCTGTCTGATCCCGAGTTGACAGAAGGTCGCCAAATGTCCGCCCGCACCGTCCCGGATATCTCTGCCCCTACCATGCCAGGCAAGCACCGGGGCGCCGAGCGAGGGTGTGAATGTGCTGTCTGTCGCTCCCTGTCGGAAGCCCGCTGTCTCCGGCCCCCCCTGCCGTCGCCCCAGTTGGACGCGATCTCCAGGACCTGCCGGACATTCCAGGGATTCCCAGCTCGTAGCGGATGGTGGTGCGTTGCTTCCATGTTTTCGCTCGTCGCCACGCGAATAGGTGTCTGCGCTTCAGATATGGACACGTGTCCTCGTTGTAGCCCCACCCCTTTGGCCTGTCCCTAGCCGGCATGGGGGAGGGGTCTGCTCGTCGCTACCATTCTCAGGGCGTGGGGGGGAGAGGTTCCCATTTGCTTCCCGTTTTGTGAATGCAGCACAGCTGGTTCACATTGGCCCAGGAGCGGAACAGTAGGGCCAGCTTGGCTGTGGGTGGGAGAATAGGGCCACTTAGAGAGAGCGTGTGACTGATTTGTTGTCCTTTTGTCCTATTTTGAAGTGCCATGGAGTAAACAAGCCGGCCGGTTAGGAGCAGTGCCCCCGCGAGCACGGTGTTACCAGGCAGTGCCCTGCCCCGGCTGTCTGCCTTTTCATTGGCTCATCACCCTTCTCGACGCCCCGCCTCTCATCGAGCGCCATGTTCCAGTCAATGTCACATCTCTGCAGCAGCCCTGGCCCCAGGGGCTCTAGCCATTGATCTGCTTGCGATGGAGGGATGGATGGATGGATGGATGGATAGATGGATGGATTTCTACTGCTATAATTAAAATGATGTTTTATTCTCTTCCAAATAGTGGTCTTAGCCCACTTAGTGGTTTAATCTCGTAAGACGGGAGTAAGCCACACCCACTCTCTTTGTCTCACTCCCTTTCTCCTGGCCCGTGTTCGGTGTTTGGCGACACGTCGCACCAGGCAGCTCCTCGCCCCACCCTCACTCTCTCCCGCCTTCGCTTACCGATCCTGCCCCTTACCCGCTGCTGGCATTGATGAGAGGGTCCCCAGAGCGGCTGAAGGATCCAGGAAGGGCAGTAAACAGCTCCAGACTGTCACTTTTGCAGGGACTCAGTAGGCAGAAAACGCTGCGGATGTATCCTTATTATTTTTTA